TCATTGCGTGTTAAGACTTCTAACTGAATAATATCCCGACTGTCCTACCATACACACAATTAGAGTATTGTGCAAAAAAAGTTACTTTCAAATTTTTTTTCAATTATTACCATCCTTTCTTTGTTCAAACAAAAATTATTTATTTTTTCAATTAAAAATATACACATTATTAGTAAAATGAAAAAAATAATTCGGAACTATTATTCTTTTAAAAAAAAACAATAAAATGACTATTTTTGACTATTTAACAAGTTTTTCATTTCTACTGAGAAAAAACTGAATAATATGGCTTACTTATTATAAAATTAGATTGTGTGTGTGTGTGTGTGTGTGTGTGTGTGTGTTTTTTTCAATTATTTTGTATATTGGATCAGATTAAATAATTTTCAATTTTTTTTTCAACAAAAATTATACACATTATTAGTAAAATGAAAAAAAATTGGAAAAACATTATTGTTTTAAAAAAAAAATCAATTGACTAAAACACGATAAAAAACGATTTGTTGCCAGAATGAAAAAAAAAAAACTCATATCGAGTTATACTTATTATAAAACCCAGGTTGTGTGTGTGTGTGTGTGTGTGTGTGTGTGTGTGCGTTTGTATATTGGATCAGATTTCCTACATTTTTCAGCCGATTTCAACAAAAATTAGCTTGCAGTGGTTCTGACAGCGCCAAAAATTGGAAAAACACAATTGTTTTTGCACGAAATCAATTTGAAAACACGATAAAACACGATTCTGTTGCCAGAATGAAAGGGGGACAACTCATATCGAGTTATACTTATTATAAAACCCAGGTTGTGTGTGTGTGTGTGTGTGTGTGTGTGTGTGTGTGTGTGTGTGTGTGTGTGCGTTCGTTTATATATGGGATCGGATTTCCTACATTTTTCAACCGATTTCAACAAAACTTTACTTTTTTTGTAAGGTAATGTTTCTTATTGTCTTGCACACTTTTTTCTTTATTTTTACATTGAGAATGCTTTAAAAATTCCATTTACAAGACAATTGTTTATAATAAAATTCTATTCAATCGATAGACTCACAACGATTGAAAACAATGTTTTTGTTTGAGTTTGGGTTTGACCAATTCGTAAAAAAAGAAAAAAAACAACTAATTAAGACATGCATGTCCGTCAACCTTAAACAATAATCTTTCTCAATTTTATTTTTCAGTCTTTATGATGGTCAATACTTGATCTATCTCTTACTGTTACATCCCCGGGCAACGCTGGGCTCTACTGCTAGTTCATTATAAAATGTGTCATTATTTTAAAACACCTTGTAATTTTATTTCCTTAATTTTATTCCGGAATATTCGTAAGAATTCTAGAAAGTTCTACAATTATTTTTAATTTGATAAAAGAAACCAAAAATATAATTATTTTGTGATTTGTTATAAAAAGCACACACCGCTATATATTAAAGTAGAAATTGTTGCCCTATCAAAAGCTGGTCAATCGAATCGAGAAATTGCAAGTAGTGTCAACACTTTTCAATCAACTGTCTCGAGGGTTTTGAGAAATTCCAATTTCACTGAAACAGTTGTCAAAGTAGAAAACAGGTGTAGAAAACGACGAGAGAACAGGCTGCAAAATCATTAGAGAAATTAACTAAAAGCGGTCAATTATCAGTACAGAAATTGCAGATACCTTGATGTTATACCATAATACCTATTCTATTGTAATAGACTCTCCCACAGATAATAAGTAGTAGTAGCAGTGGCCAGATGGGATCAGTGGTGTTGAGTGAGTCAGTCGATGTCGGACATTGAAGTATCAACCAGAGTTCAAGGTTAATTTGTGCGAAGTGGTTTCCTTGTACGTGCTTTAGCCCCGTTACTATAACAACAGTCCCGATACTTTTTGATGCATCTCGTATGTTAGTGTACATCAAATGTATTCTTAACTGGGACGGATGTTTAATAGTTAGGGAGATGCATTCGGCGTTAGAATTGTTTTCCCAAAATAGAGATGGCTTGTGACTCAACATAATATTGGCTTTATCTCTCTCATTTTTATTTGTTTCTCATTTATTTATTGTTTATATTATTATTATTATTATTATTATTATTATTATTATTAATTCCTTTGATACCTGTTGTATTCTCATTTCTTCCAGAGACCTAAAGACAGAAATGGCATCATGTCATTTTCCTCGTCCTGGATATGGCGATAAACTGCATCCGCGTCCTAGGTAAGACGATAAACTGCATCCGACAGCAAGGCCTCTGATCAGGAGGTTTTGAGAAGCGTGAAACCATCTGTTAGTTGCTGGTGTTCCAATGTTCACCCTGACACTGGGTGGTAGCACCTGTTAGGGTCCCAACTGTGGGCAAATAGTTACCCCCAACAAAAAAAAAAACACTATAAAAGTGTAAAAATAGGTTTTAATACCAGCAATAAATGTTTGAAGGAAAAAATTTTTACCAGTAATACATTATGACCAGCAATACATTTTTAAAGGAAAAATATTACCAGAAATACACTTTTGAAAAAAATATTACCAACAGTATATTAGCAATAAAAATCTTGTCGGCGTTAAATAACCCATTTAGGTTGATATGCCGTAAAACAAACCAAACCAAACCAAACTAATGACATTTTCCACTGAATATTTGTGTAAACAAATAATTTTTTTTAAAAGAGCTAAGGGTATACACATTTTGCATAGATAAAACTCTTCGGAAGGTGCGATCTGTACTTGTGAAAACAATTATTTATATTTCTTTAAGGCATGGGCCATCAAAGTTCCCTTCAATGTGTCTATCAGAACCTTTTCCAATCAAACCGAGGGCTCCAACTACAAATGAAATTATTGATGTCGACATTTGCCACATTTTTGAGATTTCCACTTCAAGATACTTGTAATTTGATAGGTTTTTTTAATCTCTTCATTAGAATCTGAGGGAATTGTCATGTCCATAAGAAAGCGCATTTTATTCTTGTGTTATTTGATCACTCGTATGGGGGATTGGCTTTGATCGTTACAAAAATGCTCACTGAAACATAAATATCATGACGCCATTTGTGATCTTAAGTCTTTAGTTGGGAGTCGGAAAGAAATAAGTATACACCAGAAATCAAAAGAAAAATAATAATAATAATAATAATAATATTAATAATATCTGCATTGGAAAATCTGCAACTTCTACGGGAAGGAAACTGAAAGAAACTGGTATGAACACCACCCAGACCCGGTTACGGAGATAGGACCTGTTACAATTCTATGGGACTACACAATACACACTGACAAAACAATCAAAGCCAACCGCCCAGATATTGTTATTAAAGACCACAAACAAAAAAGTGCCTTTTTATTGATATGGCAGTCCCTGCAGACTGCAATGTATCTTTGAAGATATTCAAAAAGCTGTCAAAATACAAGGACCTTGAAATAGAAATCTCGAAAATGTGGCATATGGGAACATCAACAATCCCTGTTGTAGTTGGAGCCCTAGGACTGGTTGGAAAAGATTGCAGTAGACTAATTGAAGGATTCCTGGAAGTCCATGCCTCAAGGAGATACAAAAATTGTTCTGACAAGTACAGCCCACACTTTACGGAGGGCTTTATCTATGTAATTTTTTTTTTTTTTTGTCAGTGGAAAGTGCCATGACGCCATTTCTAACCTTAGGTCCCTGGGCGGGACCCGGAAAGAAATGTGTAAACGCCAGAAATCAAAGAAAATAAAAATAATAATAATAATAATAATAATAATAGCCCAAAATGCAGATTCTGTGATAAATTTCCAGAAACAATTGACCATTTTTGTATTAGGTTGCACGGTATTGGGACGCACTGAATATAAAACCCGGCATGACAGAATGGGACAATATCTGCACTGGAAAATCTGCAAATTCTACGGAAAGGAAACTGAAAGAAATTGGTATGAACGCCACCCAAACCTGGTTACAGAGATAGAACCTGTAACAACTTTATGGGACTTTGCAATATTCACAGATAGAACAACCAATGCTTATCATGATTAGAGACCGCAAAGACAAAATGTGCTATCTTATTGACATGGCAATTCCTGTAGACTCTAACGTATCTTTGAAGATTTTCAAAAAGCTATCAAAATACAAGAATCTTGAAAGGGAAATCTAAAAAATGTGGCATCAAATAGTTAGAGCCCATTGAAGGGATCCCTGATAGGCCATGCCCTAAAGAAATACAAAGGCCGTACTTAGAAGTACAGCCCATACCTTACGAAGGGCTTTATTTATGTAAAATATGTATGGTCTTCGGCGTTTTTTTTTTCCTTCAAAAATGCTCAGTTGAAGATGCCATGATGCCATTTTTTAGCTTAGATCTCTGGTTGGGACCCGGAAAGAAGTGAGCATACACCAGAAATCAAAGAAAATAAAATAAAAATAATAATTCAAATAAAATTGTTGAAGACATTCTCAAAATACTAAAATCACCTGGAAGAAAATCAATTAACCTTTGGGCATAAGAAATCCAGCAGTCCTGTAGTTATTAAAAGATAGACGGTTCGATTCATTCTGAACTAAAAACAGTGACACACACACACACACACACACACACACACACACACACACATATATATATAGTTTTATATTTTGTTCAATACATTTTTATATTGTTTTATTTTATTATGTTAAACGCGTATTCCATAAAAATAAACAAACTTAGCAACTTTAAATGGTACGTTAAATAGAAGTTTCAACACGGTACCCAAATCATTTTGACATTAAAAAATAAATGCTAAATTATCATTTAGCTTTTTTTTTTTTCAGTGATTTGAAAGTTCCATAGTTTTATGGAACGCATTAAAGTATTTTTTTTCCGATTTTTTTATTCTTTTGATGGGGCGGTTATGGCTGCAAAGTCCTCATCAAATTGCTTTTGCTGTTTTGGTTTTGGTTTTGGTTTTTCATCCTAAAAAAAAAAAAAAACGAAAAGAAAAAAAAATCGGTGATCGAAAGGAATCCAAAACGGTGGACCTTGACCAAGCACTGAGTCGATCGTCAGGAAGTTTAAGAACAGCAAAGACATGTGCTTTTGTTGTTCGCTTCTTCTAACCCTGCCATTTCTCCACGAAGCAAGACCTCATTTTTCACTTCAAGAAAGGCTTTTGTCTCCATTGCATTCCAGGTAAGTCCGTTGCCATCGGCATAAAAAATGGCTTCTACTCGCTCCAACACATCTTCCACCCATTCGAAAAAGGCTTGATCTTTAATCGACGTCTAAAATATATAAAAAAAAAAAGTTCCATTTAAATGACGTTGTACCAAAGTAACACATCAGATTATTATTATTATTATTATTATTATTATTATTTATTTATTTATTTTATATTATTATTATTATTATTATTATTTATTTTATTTATTTTATATTATTATTATTTATTATTATTAATATTATTATTATTATTATTATTATTTCCTTTCATTTCTGTCATATACTTATTTCCTTCTGGGTCCCAACCAGAGATATAAGTTCAGAAATGGGGTAGACTATCTATATTTCTGAGATGAGGTATTATGTACATTATTTACATTATTCGGACTATTGTCCTCATCTTTGTCGCCATATTTATTACAACGTTTCGGCCCTTCAGTATCTGTCTATATTTCTGAGATGAGGTATTATGTACACTATTTACATTATTCGGACTATTGTCCTCATCTTTGTCGCCATATTTATTACAACGTTTCGGCCGTCAGGTGGTTGGAATGTCGAACTGAACTCTTTATTTCGCTCACTGATACATGGCACAGTGGATAAAGGCGTAGGTTATATCCAGTGACAGGACCCAAAGAGTGTGAGTTCAATACCCGGTTAAGGCAGTGGAGAACTTTCAGAGGGGAATTAACAGGAGATAGCTGATAACTGACATCCGTTAAACATGGCACGTGGAACTAGAACAGTGTACCCCAGTGAGCGAAATAAAGGGTTCAGTTCAACATTCCAACCACCTGAAGAAGGCAGGAGCGTACAACGGCCGAAACGTTGTAATAAATATGGTGACAAAGATGAGGACAATAGTCCGAATAATGTAAATAATGTACGTAATACCTTATCTCAGAAATATAGACAGATACTGAAAGGCCGAAACGTTGTAGTAAATATGGCGACAAAGATGAGGACAATAGTCCGAATAATGTAAATAATGTACATAATACCTCATCTCAGAAATATAGATAGTCTACCCCAGTGAGCGAAATAAAGGGTTCAGTTCGACATTCCAACCACCTGAAGAAGGCCGGAGCATACAACGGCCGAAATGTTGTAATAAATATGGTGACAAAGATGAGGACAATAGTCCGAATAATGTAAATAGTGTACATAATACCTCATCTCATAAATATAGACAGAAAATGGAAAGAACACACATTTTACATTGATACAGCCCTTCGCAAGGTTCGAGCTCTACTTAGGGGCATTCATACCAATTTCTTACAGCTTCCTTCCCATAGAATCTGCAAATTTTCCCGTATATATATTGGGCCACCATCTTATCCAAATTTTATATTCAGTGGATTATTACATAAAAAAAAAATAATAATAATAATTGTAGGTGGAGTTTTCAATTTGATTGGAAAAGTTCCCGGTACCCACATTGAAGGAATTCTTGGTAACCCGTGCCTTAAAGAAATAGAAAAAATTGTATTCATGAGTACAGTGCACACCTTACGAAGGGCTTTATCAATGTAAAAAATATCTGTGATCTTGGGTTGCCTATATTTTATTTTGCAAAAATGCTCAGTGGAAAATATCATGACGACATTTGTGATCTTAGGTCTTTAGTTGGAACCCGTAAGAAAATGAGTATGTACCAGAAACCAAAGCAATAATAATAATAATAATAATAATAATAATTATTATTATTATTATTATTATTATACCGTTACTGTCGACATAAAAAATGGCTTTTATCCGTTCCAACACAACCTCTCTCCATTCAAAAAAGGCTTGATCTTTATTCAAGGTCTAAAATATATTAACAAAAGGTTCGATTTAAATGACGTTCTACCAAAGTAACATCATACATCGAACCTATTTTGATTTAAAGGCACACTGTAAATCAGTGTCATTTCTCACTTTCAGTTCCTTTCTAAATATCCCTTATAACTACACTCTAGACATCCTTATCTTGTGCTAATTCATAAAAGTTCTACAGGTTTTCTAAACTCTTTAAAATCTTTACGGAGAATGCTGGAATCATATTGATATTTTTATGTCATTGTTCAATGTGTATAACTGTTCGTGTATTCATTTCACTTAATATTAATTTTGTTCTATGTATTTTATACCTTATACATATTAAATATTAGGAAAACGTTAGTTTTTTGGGGGCGGGCAACGTCTAAGACACGTATTGTATATAATGTGAATATATGTACATTATATATGTCTCAAAGTTTGTCACAGCCGCGGGTCATAGTGGAGACAAGCTCCCACTCTCTATAAAATTCTTCTCATAGCCCCCGACAACTAAGCCCAGCTCCAAGCCAGGGAATGGGCGAAGGTGGACAACTGGCGCCTCATAGTCAGCTGATTCGGGTAGATGGAGCTCGATAGGCCAGGAAGGTAATCCATCGAGGGGAAGGAAAAACCTGATTTTAAAACTACGCTGTCTTGCTGTCAAATACAAATACGGAAAGGGCCATGGAAATAAATACAGATAAAAAAAAAATCCGGAGTGAAGCCTCGAAGGTGGTTGGCTGACAATATTGACAACTTTCCGGTAACTCCTGCAACCAAGCCGGCCCTAAATGTAATACTCTATTTTCTTTCGGATCTTGTTGGTAGGACCGAGGGGAGGGCCATGTAATCTGGACAGCGCATGGTCTCCATATATTATTGCCCAGAGACTTTATTACTTTTTTAGACTGAGTTGATAGGACAAAGAACGCTGTTCTCTATAAGACAGTGGTTACCAGCAGCAAAAGTCGGAGAGACATAGAGGGACAAGAGACCGCCAGGCTGCCAAGTGAAAAGAAATACACGTCAGTTAGATGATTCGCCGCTTCAACTACCCTCACCTCTGCCTCGCTCGTCTACAGCAGAAGGTTACAGCGGAACAAAATCTGCAGACTGCTACATCCGCCTTTCTTTCGGCCAAACAATTATTTTCCTTGCACAAGCGTTCAACTGGAAGAAGCTGCACCCTGAGAACGAACCTGGTTCTGGTCTGAGTAGAGATTTTGGTTTCTTGGCGACAGCATAACTCAATGTTAAAACTATCAACGTTCTTGCTTTTCATTCTTTCACGAAAGCTCTAACATTAAATGCCCTGATGGGAAAATCATCATATGCAATTAGAGGCGTTTACGGAGTTTTGAATAAGAAATTGCCAAGTCTTAAGGGTTAACAACCTGAAAAAGTCATTAGCTTGGTTCCTGCATTTCATTTTTGCATTGATGTAAAGAATGAACATTTTCGAAATAGCAACATTTCCAAACGTAATGGTGCGCTGAGTTGCAACTTTCATTGAATCGTCACAAAATAGGCTTCCTGCCTTTGCGTCTTCTTCGAGTATACAATACCGAAAATTCGAGAAACTGTTTTGTTGACGGGACATAGAATATTTTTGTGATGTCAACCAACTCTCGTTGCCACTTTTGTAATGTCAACGAATATTCGTTGTCACTTTCGTAATGCCCGTTGTAGTAGAGTCTTTGTAATCGCAGAAACAACTATATTAAAGCCGTTAAACAATACAATATCACTCGCACTAATAGTACTTGCTTGATAATACTTACTCGAATAGTAATCCATACAGTGATCAGTATAGAGAAGTAGTATAGGGAATAGTATAGAGAATAGCGATTCGTATAGTAATAGAGGATAGAATAGAAAGAGTGATCCGTATAGTAATAGAGGATAGACTAGAAATGACGATCGTTTAGATGCCACGCTAATTCCTATATATACGTTTTTTTCTATGGCCTACTTAATTCAAAAATGGGATCGCCTGTGTTTGCTCACTGGCGATCTGTGTTCAAACTCAAGCGTCGGCAGCGACACTTTATTCTTATATAACAAATATGCTGACTGTATCCCCTGCAGGGAGATAGAGCCTTCGCATCCAAAGGGAGTCACTAAACAGGCGGATCTTTGCAGACACCGGCATGGACTTCCAAGGACTTCCAAGGCGGCTTGCCTATAAACTCAAGTATAAACACAACGCTACATAAGAGTTCTCATGTTTCAAAACAAGAGCCGAAAACTTCAATATAATTATTTGAATTAAATTGAATTAAAGTACTAAGCTCTGTTCCATCTTCAAGCGAAAGAACTTTGGATTATTTACCTAACGAGTTCTTTCCTATTTTCTATATATTTTTACACACACACACACACACACACACACACACACACACACATATATATATATATATATATATATATATATATATATATATATATATATCAATCTGTTCATTATCTATCTATCTATGCTAACATTTTCTTCTATCGCACTTCTCGCATGTGGAACTCTTCGCTTCTTGCTTCGCAGTCAACTTTGAACTTCAAAAATTTAAATACAATATCAATCGGTATATTTTGTCTTCTCAATACCTGTTCTTTTATTTCCCTGCTTAATATATATATATATATATATATATATATATATATATATATATTTGGCTCGCTTTTTATCTTGATTGGACCAGCCTTTTACCTTTTACCACTCCCAAATTGTTTTCGTCCCCCCACCCTCGCCACGAGCGAGTGGATGGATATTGAATAGAGAGTGATGAGTTCTTGTCGTCGCGAATCGGATTAGCTAGGAGTAGGACAGATAATGTTTACCAGCCACCACCCCCTGCCACTTTGGCCTTGTGCCACATACAATGTATACATTGTGAAATAAACTCCACAAGAATTTTTTTTTTTTACTTTTTCATTACAACTATGTTTTTATCAAAAGAAGAGTCGGCTATATTATTGTACCTGATCTAGCATCTCTGTTCTTTTATTGTCTCCGCTTTGAAGTGTGAGTTGTCATTGGTTAAATGTAAAATAAATGGCAGTGAATAAGTGAATATCTCTGCTTAAGGGGGACCTTATCGAAATAGGAAGAGACTTCCTTGAGAGCAATGTAGAATTTGAAATGGGTTGTCCAAAGCTGTTCGTCGTATCTCCAATTGTTTCGAAATTGGATGATCTCGCGGAAACCAACTCGATCTCCGCTACCAAGTTTGTTCAACGCTTTCGTAATATCGCTGACGAGCCTCTTTTCAATCAGCGGATAGATTAACGGCTCATAATCGATATTCAACAGAATTGACAAAGTTTGGAATAAACAATAACAAGAAAAAAGAAAACAAAAGAACAGGACAAAAAATAATATAAAGCAAGCAAATATATGCAAGGCGAATTAACAGGAATAAGGCAAAGCAACTCGACTGGGTCAGTTTTATTGATTCCTCATGTCCGTCTATATTTTCTCTTTTCCTTCTCCCTTAGCGAGAGAGCCACTTGATTTTGTTCAAGGGCAGAATACAGCAGCTTCTCTTTTTCGAAGGGTTGGACGGGTCCTACTAACATTAGTTATGTTTATTTTTGCTTTGTTTTGATATTTAGTTTGTTTTGGGGTTACACCTCACATTTCATGATCATTCATCCGAATTATATATATATATATATATATATATATATATATATATATTTATGTGTGTGTGTGTGTGTGTGTGTGTGTGTGTGTGTGTGTGTGTGTGTGTGTGTGTGTGTGTGTGTATAAAATATATAGAAAATAGGAAAGAACTCGTTAGGTAAATAATCCAAAGTTCTTTTAGTATTTTTTTATTATTTTTTAAAAATAGTGCTCGATACAAAAGTAGAGCATAAATATAAATATATTTTTAAATAAATAAATATATATATATATATATATATATATATATATATATATATATATATAAAGAAATGGACAAAGTCCGACAATTTATTTATTAAAGACATTTTTTATATTTTAACGTTCTTTTTATAGATACAAGTATTTAAGTAAATGCTCTGTTTATAATAAACAGTATTAAATATTAAATAACATTATTTAATATTATTCTCGGACATTCAGGCCGGTAAATGTTATTTTACTGTTTATTATAAAACAGAATTTACTTAAATACTTGTATCTATAAAAAGAACGTTTTAAAAAATGTCTTTAATATTATATATATATATATATATATATATATATATATATATATATGTATATAAATTTATCATCTCATTGGGATGTTTTTTTTTTAGTGTGAGGATGCGGTATTATGGTGTATGGACGGTTGATTGGCGACGGATGAGTTTTTATGGTGAATGAGGAAATTGTAACGAGTAAATGGGTCGTGAATCCGATTAGCTAGGTATGAGATAGTTAGTGAGGACCGACCTCAACCCATTCTCCTTTTCGGCCTTGTGCCATAATTGTATTAATTTACAATAAATCTCAATAAGGCAGAGAAATATATATATGGCAAAAAGTTCACAAATTAAGAATTGGGGTTGACACACAAGAGCAAGTTTGGACAAGCGAACGTAGCATTCTGGCTTCAAGACAAGACAGATCGGGACTGGATCAGATGAAACCGAGAATCAGCTTATTTTATTGGCTAGTAAAATATCCCAGCATGCATCTGTGAGCTGTTTATAAAATAGGGAGGTGGTATTTTGTAATTATTCCTAGCAGGATTAAAACCAACACGCTCCTTAATGATGTTTTTTTTTTTTTTTTGTTTTCTTAAATTCTTTTTTTATATATTCTTTCACCCTCAGCAACCGCTTGACTTTTAATGGCTTAATTGCCTTGCTTGGAGTGAAATGATTAAAAAAATGTATACTCACAGTCATAACTATTTCACTGATGATTTTTAACAGGAGGTTCCAAAGAGCTGAGAGGAACGTATCGAAATTGTTTACCATGAGATTCTTGTGTAAGATACCAAAATTCGTTTCAAGGTAGGAGTTCAGCTTCTCAAATGCTTGCTCCCTGGATACCTGCTCAAGATACACCGAGCAAACTGCATTCATTTGCTCCTTGAGGTCTTTCTGCATTTGTTTGGCAACAGCCGTCATGACCATTAGGATAATGCTCAGAATAGTCGAATTGGCGTCGGCGAGGATTTGATCCCGGATGTCAGCTAGAAACGCGATTCTTTCGGCGTCATTAACGTTAAGCAAGGAATCGGTCGACGGCCTCAAGCTCTCTAGCTTTTCAAACTGCGGCGAAAGCGACAAGCGTACCTGTTCAATACTATTGATAATTCGACACAGCTGATTGGAGACATCGAACTGGCCGTCCTCATCGTAGAATTTGACTTCTTGAAGCTTTTCGTAAATGAGTTTGGCGTAAAGTTTGGCCCCATCTGAGATCATAGCCATAACCAAGGTGCCGATGGCGTACCACTCGCATAAGTTGGGCCAAGCGAGTTGGGACACCATCTCGGACAGTTCGTTGAGACACACGCCAACGTCCACTGCTGACGAGGTGAAACCGGTTAAGTCTGTCACTCTTTCCGCTTCGTCGATGGCTATCGCCTTTCTAATGACAGCCAATGATTTTTCATGGCTCATTACCATCCAACGTTCTAGCTGGAAACGGAACCATTCGTGGTATTTGGAAAGATTCGGTGAATATCTCTGCTTAAGGGGGACCTTATCGAAATAGGAAGAGACTTCCTTGAGAGCAATGTAGAGTTTGAAATGGGTTGTCCAAAGCTGTTCGTCGTATCTCCAATTGTTTCGAAATTGGATGATCTCGCGGAAACCAACTCGATCACCGCTACCAAGTTTGTCCAACGCTTTCGTAATATCGCTGACGAGCCTCTTTTCAATCAGCGGATAGATTAACGGCTCATAATCGATATTCACCATCCGAAATTTGGATCTGTAATAACAGTTTGCCTTCACTAAATCGCCGTTGATATTCAAAGTCAAGTTCAATAGACTTTGAATTACGTCTTTGGGAAGACTTGTGGGCGGTTCGACGTCTTCCAACACTTTCTCGTACCATTCTTTTGTCCCGTTGACCAGCGCCGTCTCGATCTCTCCGCTCAAGTTGACCACTGGGTAGCAAAGGCCAACGAGATCGAATGTGTTGAGAATGTTTAAACATTTCAGCAAATTGTTAAAATCCGGACCATCTTTGGCGCTCTCTCTAAAGAACTGGACATTTTGCAAACAGTCGCTGATAAAAATATGGAAAGACTTTTGCACTATCATAATCTCTTCGTTATGTAATTTCTTGCGATCCGCATGACCCCACGACACTTTCAGACGTTCCAAGTAAAAAAGCATTGCCGAGTGACACATGCTTTTCTTGTGGTGTTGCTCTGTGTATGCTCTCCACAAACTGACGTCTTCCTGAAATTCGCTCATGTCGTGATGTAATGCATGGAGATGGATGATATTAACAAGTTCTTTGGCCATCGACCCAATCCACTTGTTATTCTCGGAAAGATAGATACTGCTTAAAGTGTGTTTGATAAACACTGAGACAACGTCTGCATTTTTAAGAATATGTTCTTGACAATTCTCGCTCGAAGGGATTTCCTTGATGCTTCCATTTTTGATGCTTATATTCGGTTGGACAGCTGTCAGACGAAAACTAATCCTCACGAAACCTTGAACATTCGACTTGTGTGAGCGACCCTCAAGTTGATACCACGCCCTTTCCCCAGCCGACGGGACAGTTTTCACTACGCAACTCATCCGGCCAAGGAAGTCATCCAGTTCTTCTCCTTTCTTCAAGCATTTCCTTATGTCTTTGATGCCGCGGTGAAAGTCTTCCATATTCGAACTCTGACCGATATTAAGAACGGCATCCGCCAAGCTCTGCTCCGGGTCATTGTCCCAGACATCAAGCAGGAAATGATCGTTTTTCAGGTTCCTGATTTCAAACTGGAACCACTCGTCCCACACCGGGTTCAATTCCCTTTTTAGCACGCGCGTCGTGCTTTGTTTCTTGACGGGCAGAGCTTCCAGCGCTGTCTTCCCGGTGTTTGCCTGGATTCCCAGCAAACAATACGGATCGCTCGTACCGATCACGTCCTTTGGTTTCAGGTCCTTAGCTTCGATGATATTCACCCGGAGGACGATTCGGGGAGCAGCACGCTTTTTGGCTGCGTGCATCGCTTTTGAATGCTCCTCGTCTGTCTTATTGAATGCCTTTTTGACACACTTCAACATCTTTTCCTGGTCACACATGAAGCCATCACTGCTTTTGCCTAGAGGATGCAGTATACAGTACAAAACATCAACATAGGTTGACTCCATACTTTTATCGTTATCTGTTTTTTTTTTTAATATTTAATTTGTTTATTGGACTACATCTTGAAATGGTTATCAGTCTTGCTACACTTGCTGTTGTCACTTTGACAACAACTTTAAAATAATGAAATACTGAATATGACGTCATTGTTCTTTATATTTTCATTGAGTTGGTAATGTCTGTACATTGGCGGAGATGGGAATAACTTCTCCAGTTTGGTTTGGTTTGTTTTACAGCATATGATTTATTTAATGGTTTATTTAATGCCGACAAGATTTTTATTGCTGCTAATATTTTTTTTCAAAAAATGTATTACTGGTAATATTTCCCCCCCAAAGAAATGTATTGCTGGTTTGGTTTGATTTGTTTTGTTTTAATACATATCAACCTGAATGGGTTATTTAATGCCGACAAGATTTTTATTACTGGTAATATTTTGTCTTCTGAAAATTAATTGCTGGTAATAATTTTTTCCCCAAAAATATATTGCTGGTAATAATTTTTTTTTCCAAAATTGTATTGCTGGTTATACATTTGTTTAAAAAATTTACTGCTGTTATTAATTTTTCCCAAAAAAGTATTTCTGGTATTAAAACCAATTTTTATACTTTCATATTATTTTGACCCATTTTTGGTGGGGTGGGGGGTAACTATTTGCCCATAGCTGGAACTCTGACTGGTGCTACTACCCGGGTCAGGGTAGACCTGATAAAACCAGCAATTAAGAGGTGGTTCCACGCTCCTCAAAACCTCCTGATCAGAAGCCTTGGTGTTGGACGTAGTTTATTGCCATACCCAGGACGCGGATGTAGTTTATCGTCTTACCCAGGACGCGGATGTAGTTTATCGTCATACCGGTTGTCAAGCCATTAGAACTTGGCAGCTTCTTTAATTTAAAAATTTGTAAAATTTTTGCTAATTGCAAAGTTAAAAAGGCGGAATGTTGTTAGATGCACCTCGTCTCGTCTTTCTTTAAGAGAAATTGTTGAATTGATTTTATTGTACAGATTGATCAATTTCTGATGTTTAAAAGAAAGAACAATGTTGGAAGAGTAGTACGTAACTAATGGAGTTTTTGACTTTACAATATTTTTCTGGTGCATGTTGCTGACGGAAGTGCTGAAATTTTATTTCCAACTGTGCAGCGATGTGTTATCATCTATAGTGATAGATGGGCTGCTTATAATGAATTAGCTGCGCTTGGCTTTCAGCATTTTTTTTTTCAACTATAATCAGAATTTTCTTGGCCTAATGACGGGGGTCTGTGCTAAATATGCAGAAGTACAGGGTGCTTCAAAAAGAATACGCCAAAATCATCACGTGATATGTCAAAAACGAAAAAAATTACAAACCTCTAGCATGAACACATGTGTTATATATACATTCAAGTTTCATTTCATGTTTTATAAGTGCTCAATGTGGCCACCACCGGCAGCGTGGACAACATCAAGCCGATATGAGAATTCCTCCCAAACGCGCCTCAGCATGTCACGGTCCACCATGTTGATTGCAGCTGTTATTCGATCTTTCAAGTCATCGATACTTGCTGGAAGTGCTGGAACATACTTGGTCTTTAACATATACCCACAAGAAAATGGTCACACACAGTGAGGTCCGGGGATCTGGCAGGCCAAGCACAGAGAGAAAGGTCTTTAACACCTCTCCTCCTAATCCATCGCTGAGGCACGTTTTTATTCAGATAAGCTCTAACCCTGAGATGCCAATGGGGTGGTAGCTCCATCTTGCTGAAAAATGAAGTCATTCGAATCTGCTTGCAGTAAAGTGAATAGCCATTTTTGGAGCATTTCGAGATAGGTTTGTCCTGCTTGTAGCTGCACCGGAAGTTATACTAAAGACAGCGGTGAAACTGACACCTAATCAAACTTTGATAACTACTCTATAAAATAACCACTGATTTAGTCCACTACAATGCTATAGACCTGAAAAAACAGTGTAATGATTTTGGCGTATTCTTTTTGAAACACCCTGTATATTGTGCAAGAGTGGAGAAACGCCTGAAGAAAACTGGCGGTTCAAAGGTTGATATGAAACGGTCACACCTGGATGAGGCAATTTATAAAGACTGTGTAGCAACCCGCTACCACTTTCTTATTGTCATGGTCCGGTCCGGTCCTTGTACCACGGTGATGGTCCAAGGTAGAACCAAATAAAGAAGAACTTGAACATGTATATGGAACAACACATATATATTACAAACAGGAATATATACAAAATCAGGTTTAGTAGTAATTGTCTGAACGCGACTCTGTTTCGGACTGCCTCTGACTCGACTGATTGACTCGCTCGCTCTGACTGACTGACAGACTCCTGACGGACTTCTGATGGACCTCACTCCAGACTTCAGACTGAACGGTATTTATTCACCCCCCCAAAGAGTTCAACCGATCAGCCGTTCAGCCGGTCGCCCGACTTCCCTGCTTCCTCTTGAAGCGCAGTATTTATTACGTATGGAATAGTCCATTATATTATTATGGGTAAGGTCTCATAACACTTATCAATGTTGAATTTTGTACAATTTTGTGCAAAAAGGTGGATCATATAGCCTACTCAACTTAGTAAATATTTTCATGAAATATCAGCTTCTAATTGATCAGTAAACACACAAGTGGGCGTTGCAATCCACCCACGTACAAATATTTTTCCAGCGCGTGACCAAGTCAATTTTTCCCGCCATTTTCACTGAGCCTGTCACGGGATTATATTAATTATAAATAGCAGACACAAGCTTGGTGCTTTCTCTTCTCTACTCTTCCTTTTCCCCTGGGCGGTCAGACGTTAAAAGCATATTCACGCATGCACGTACGTACAAAAAAAAACTACATTTCAAACATACAGAACATTTCCAAACATGCAACAAGAACTTTTCTCTTTGAAATATTCTTCTGAGGCTACAGTTTATTCAGCATTTCTCAGCTTTATAATTAATTCAACCTTTGTGAGCTCAGATAAAAATATTCACAGACTAAGGGACATAACACCAACAGAACTTTAACTTCTACGCATGTACATCATGACACAAAAATAAATACAAATGTTATTGTTTTAAAACCATTTTGTTCCTTCTTGTATTTCATGTCTTGTGGTAATTTTACGTTAAATATAAATTGTGTGGTCATGTTATTCACGCAGCCATAAACAGACATCTACAAATGGTCCATTCATATTAACACATCACTACAACTATTTTAAGTTCAATGTTTAGGAGAATATAAACAATTTTTGAACATATATCATTGCAATAGACATTTTAAATATATTACTATACTTGGTTTTAAATTAATACTGTCACGTGAATACACTCGAATTAAATTAAAGTATTAAAATCTCTCTTGCAAATCAAACATTGCCACTGGAGATTTTGAGCTCCCGGTGACAGTGACCCGCAAGGATTTTAAGTACCAAAAAAGTTGGTCGGTGTTATCAGAGAGACGAAGGAGGAAGTGAATATTGAATATTGAATATTGGTGCAGGCGTTCTGACAAAACGAAGTAACGCCATACTGACAACGAAAGAATCTGCCAAGAAGATGGCGGAGAACATGCTCACGACTAAATCAATCTAACAACATTCCGCCGCTAATAAATGATCTTGTGTTTTGACAAGTTGGCCACCTTTTTGTTATACTTCTCTTTTTTGTTTTATTTAAAAGAAAAAAAATGTGGTGCCTTTGGTCAAAATGGAGCAACCTGTCTCACCAAACTCGTTGTTTAGGGCCTGTGGAGTTACTCCACCTACCTTCATAAAACATCCGCTAGGGGACGCTTTCTAACACTTTTAATACACTGTAATATTTTCTATCATCTTCCTTTTCCTATTTTCCCTTAGAGACGCTAGGATGTAGTTCTATCGTGCAAACGCGTTTCTCAACGGGAAACGCACACACAAACGCACGCACGCACATACACACACACGCGCGCGCGCGTACGTAAATACGAAAATTCCACTGTATGTAGGACTCTTTCATTAGTCTTTAAATGTTCTCATGCATGTTCATAGTATTGTCACATAGATACAATATCATTGTCGTTGTCGCTCGCAACAATGTAACTTTTGTCTTGTTAACAACATATTATCGTTTGTCTGTATATCGATTGCTTTTAGTTCTTCCTTAGTATTTTATTACGCGGACTCACATAGCGAGTCCGCTTTTTGTGGGATATACATTCCGGAACACACGTGTTTCCAAACTCAAACACTCAACGTATATACCTGCCTGCAACAGGCCCCTGCTTGGCCCAAGCAAATGGATGCGCAATATTTTACTGGTATGCAGAAGTAGTACCGGAAGTATATCTCTGATAATGGCTTCCTAACTGAGCCGACGGTCACAGAAGCAGCGATCGCAAGGACTATCTCTCTGCTAACCACAGATGTGAAAACAAAAAAGTTGGTCGGTGATATCAGGGAGACGAAGGAGGATGTGAATATTGAATATTGGTGCAGGCGTTCTGACAAAACGAAGTAATGCCATGCTGGCAACGAAAGAATCTGCCAAGAAGATGGTGGAGAACATGCTCACGACTAAATCAATGAGGATGTAGACCGAACATATTAGAGCCCAGAAGACCAACGTTACATTATACGGGGTGCCCATGGACATTTCCGAGGACCAATTTTTTTTTTTTTTTTTTTGATACAGACCATTCGGCGATGTCTCTCTTGTTATAAGCAAATCGGACATTGCCACTGGAGATTTTGAGCTCCAGGTGACAGTGACCCGCAAGAACTTTCTGGACATCCCTGACACGCCAATCTGCCCTGGATGGAACATCGTGGTAGTGGAAGGGTAGAGGCCCCAGTGCTTTAAATGCCTCCACTTGCATATAAAAATTTTACCATC